GGGAAAAATTTAAAAAACCCCCGTGTGGTGGCCCAATGGGGAAACACGGTCGACTGCATGTTGGAGAGAAACTGTAATGAGGTGACAGTCAGCGCCTGCACAGGCAATAGCGAAGTCATCAACATAGAGTGATGACCAAATATTTGATGGAAGACTAGGGGCCAAATCATTAATAGCAAGGAGAAAAAGTGTGTGCCAGAACACATCCTGGGGGACCCTTCAGCTTGGATAAAGTCTGGGGAGAGCACATTTTTAAAACCCCGAACACGGAATGCTGTCAGTTAAAAAGTTCTTAAGGAAGGATGGTAGATTGCCTCGAAGGCTTAAGGATTTGGGCTTGGGGCAAAAATATTATACCCCAAGTTGTGTCATATGCCTTCTAAAGGTCAAAAAATAGGGGCAATAACTGAGTGGTTATTCGCAAAGGCATTACAAACATACGTATCCAAGCGTATAAGGGTTTAAAGGTAGAACGTCCCTTACGAAAGCCATATTGATGAGTGGAGAGACTGTTGTGTGTCTCTAAATACCACACTAAACGTCTATTTACTAGGCGTTCCATTACTTTGCAAACTGCACTGTAAGAGCAATGGGACGATAGTGGGGGGTTTTCCCATGTCCCGTAGTGCCTGGTTTGCGAAAGGGAAAACAATGGCGGATTTCCACAGCTGTGGAAGAACTCCTTGTGACCAAATAAAAATTGTAAAGCGTAATAGGACTGCAAGGGCTGACTGATGTAAATGTTTTTAGCATACGAATATGAATGTCGTCGGGCCCAGCTGCCGATGATCGACAAGCTAGAGTGTTGCCTCCAGTTCTTGAAGTGTAAAAGGCACATACACTGTTTCTTCTCGAGAGAAGAAAAGTCCAAGGGTGCTAACTCTCGGGCAACTTTGAGGAAAGAAATGAGGGCATAGATGGAGTCCCTGAGAAATACGGACCAGATGATTGCCAATTTCATTGGCAACATTTAGGGGGTTTGCTATATCAACACCAGCAACCTGCAGAACAGGAGCCGGGTCAGGAAATATTTACCACTCATTTTCGTACTTTTTTCCAGACTGCACTCATAGAGGAAGCAGAGGTGATGGGGGAGACATAATCTCGCCAGCAAGTGCGTTTAGCAAACATGGATGACACTGCGAACGATCGCACGCTTCTGTTTAAAATCAAGGATTCTCTCCTGTGGTTTTATTGTACCGGTACCTGCCCCATGCAGCCCCGTTCAAACTACTGCATGAGCACAAGCAGGAGACCACCAAGGCATGCATTTCTGAGAATGCTGCCCGAAGTTTGGGGGATAGAATGAGAAGCTGCAGTGAAAATGGAGGACGAGAAGAGGTGTAAAAGCCACGATGGAGGACGAGGAAGGAACCTCTTTAAAAACAGTCAGATGTGAGTAAAGGTTCCAATTTGCCGATTAAATTGCCAGCGTGGGGTGCGAAGAGGTGGCGAATATGAAGGGGGAAATAAGAATGATTGGGAAATGATCACTGTCATGTAAGTCCGGGAGAACAGACCAAGTGAAGTCTAATGCGGCGGAGGAAGAGGCGACTGAGAGATCGATGCAAGAGAGAGTATGAGTCCGAGGATCAAATGGGTGTGAGTACCTGTATTTAAAACATGGAGGGGGTGGGTGGCAAGAAAAGCCTCTAACTGAATTCCACGGGAATCACAGTGAGACCCCCCCAGAGGAAATGGTGGGCATTAAAAAACACCAAATAACAGAACGGGGCGGTAATGACGAAACAAGGAAGGCAAAATCCGAATAATAATGCCCGAGAAGGAGAGAGATATAAAGAACAGAGCGTATACCACCTATGTAATGGATACGGGCTGCTGTATAATGCAGCGAAGTATGAACAAATAGCTGATGGTACGGAATATCAGTGCGGAGAAGGGCACTTTCATTAAAGGTCCCATCAGGAAAAGGATCTGAAAATACAATAAATTATAGCCTGAGATGTGAGAAAAAAACAGCAGAGTGTAATTTTGGTTCCTGTAAGCAAACACCAACAGGGCAAACGGGAGAGGTAACATCTGAAGCTCACCCCGATTACCCCTGAGGCCGCGTATATTCCACTGTAAATAGGCCATGATTAGCAACGATAAAGATACTTGAAATCCGCAGGAAAGGGGTTCCTACGGACTAAAAGGGGTTAGAAAAGTCCACATGCGGGGGCCCAGTGGAAAACGTTCAAGCAGCGAAGGAACGGTGCGCTGTGAAGAAAGGATTGCACAGATGGGCAGGGGAGAGAGAAAGAGCGGAAGGTGGATCAGTGTCCATTGATGGTTTTGGGTCTCTGAAATATATTCAGAGATTGCTTAAAGTGTTTCGGAATTCAAAGATGTCGTAGGGGAGACAATATTGGGAATGGTAGAGGGAGGATGATTTAAAGATTGGAACTGATTGGACTGTACCAAGGTAGGGGGGGCGAAAGGGTGGAGGGAACTGGAGAAGGTGGGGGGGACAGAAGAGGCAGGAACCTGGGAGGTGGCAGAAGAGGAAGAAACTGGGAGGGAACAGGGGAGGAAGGTACAGTACGAGGAGGAGGGTGAACCTCTACACTTGTAACTGAGCCAGTGAGAGGGAAAAACCCAGGGACAGAGACAGGGAGGGTAAAATGAGGAGGTGGAAGATGGGTAGTGGTGTTAACGGACCTTTTTTTGACTTTTGAGAAGTAGAGGGACGATTGGGAGGGGGTGTCATACGAGGTCTCGTCGATACTGAGGCTTTTTGAGAGAGAACTCGAAGGAGCGAGATTAGACTGAGGCGTTGAAGTAGGGACGTCTGAGCCGAGGACAGCAAAAGGATTAGATACAGGAGTGATTAGGGGAGAGGTAACCACAGAGGTGGGTGTAAAAGAGGGGAAATACCAGAAGTGGGGGGACGTTTGAAACACGGGAATAAGAAACACTGGGAGTCCCCTTGGAGGCAGAGATGAGAAACTGCCATGGCATAAGGGAGCCCTTTCTGTCTCTTTGAGGTAACGGATTTCCCGCTCGTTTAAATAGACCTGACAACGGCGAGAGTAATGAAAGGGTGAGCCTCATGACGTTAAGGCAAGAGGGAGATCGATTGCAAGACGTATTAGAATTTGGTCATCGGCCCCAAACAGACTGGGCATTCGGCGATAGATCTGCAATATTTCGCTGGATGGCCAAATCGCCAGCAATTTCTACACTGTTGTGTGTAGGGATCACCTTTCGAACTTGTAACCGATGCCTGCTATATAAACGAGGATGGGAGTTCTGGGCTGTAAAAAGTTAAACGAGCCACTTTGCTGGGGTATCGTCTCCGCCCACGGGCAGGAAGAACATAAGTGTCTACCTTGAGGATTGGGAGATCTTGGAGTTCCAGCTGTTCAAGAATGTCAGTGCCACATGTCTGGAAATTTTGTTGAACTATGGTATGGGTCAGAATGACGGTACCACTACAAGAATTGAGGGAATGATGTTTTTCAAGAGTGACAGGAACAGTATCGATATGGGAAAGACGAGAGAGCTCATGGCCTGGGTAGCATTCTGTAGGGTAATGATGCGCGACCGCTCTTAAGAGCATGAAAAGAAATATCTTTACCAACATGGCTAGGAGTGCCTTGCCAATACATGGTCAGAAAGATAGGGAGTTAGAGGAAGTTGGTCGTAAAGTGAAGAATTTAGTCCCCTTGTTCAGTCTGAAACTGAGCGTGGAAAGGTAGTGAAGGACGTGTCATCGTTTCTGAGAAGAACGAGAAGGTGGAGAAGTAATTCATCAGCAGGTAATTGTCATTGGCGTTTAGGCGTGGGACCAAGTTGGTCCGACGTTGAACGGGTCGGCGATTTTTAAAACTGCCGCACCGTAGAGGAGAGGCCCGGGAAACATAGTCAGAGGAGAGCGAAGGTCCGATAAATCGAAGGAGTCAGTCGAGGCCTCAGTACCTGAAGTGGGTGAGGAAACAGCACCACAATAGGTACAGAGGCATGAGGAATGTCTGAAGAGTGGTCCAAAGACGAGGCGGGTCAGAACGGGGTGCGGTATCAAGAAGGGGCCTGGGTACCAGGGTTTATGACTAGGGCTGCCATGGTTAGGTTACTTCTTTTTTTTTGTTTTTAAGAAAAAAAAAGAAAGAAAAGAAAATAAAAATAAAAAAAAGAATAAAAAAAAGGGGGGACCGGGGAGGGATAGTTCCTAGGAGGAATGAAAGGGCCAGAAATCTCCCTCTGCGCCCAAGAGGACCTCAGCACCGCAAGTAGCGCAGATGTAGCATGGAACCCGCCATACCCTACCCATCATGCTAGTAAACTAACAATCCGGGATAGCAACCTCACATCTGCCGAGCTACCTCGGTGGACAAAAGAGAGGGTGGCCGGATATCCGCCACAAAGCGTATCTCCTTTGGACACCACCCCCGGAATCCGAAAGGTGGCTTCCAGAGATACACTCGTCGCCCGAAAGACACCCAAAGCTACTCCGGGATACCGGAGAGGGATCGGGACATCCCCAGGCGATCCAGATTCCACGGCAAACTACGCCACCGCTAAGAACCTCAACGGAATGGGATGGACCCCGGTATCCTTTCCCCTACCTAGGAACTAGCGCACCTGTGGGAGAAATCCCAAAGGATAAAAAGGAGGAAGGGCAAAAGGGAGGGGTGGGGAGGAGGAGGAGGAAAGGAAAAAAGGGAGGATGGGATAGGGGAGGGGAGATTGGGGGGTAATTAGGTTCGGTCTGAGGAAGAAGACCGATAGGTCTAATTCCTCAGACCAAGAGCCTCTTCACCACGCCAAGGAGCCCCCCTTGAAGAGGATAATCTTTTATAGTACCCAAAAAAATAGTGAAGATGCCTTGACATGTTTTGGGACAATTTTTGCATTTTACACCCATGGTATACAAAAATGGTAAGGATTTTTATCAAAAGATAAACGTAATGTTATAGAACAATGTTCCGTGAATAAATCCTGTAAAATTTATAATGATCGGTACAATAATAATTGAGCAGCTCCCCTAAAATTGCAGAAAATGGACTTTCCAGAAAAATGGAATAATACATTGAGGCTTAGCTTATGGTGGGTAAAAATATTCCATGTGCCTTCTTATGTTTATTAGGAGTAGAAGTGAGCATATATAACATATTTCTGAAGTTCCATGCAGATCCCTCCATCCTGAAGTCCTTTGCAGATTGGCCAATCATGACGGTCCATACACATCAAACTGGAAAGAAGGAAATACACACTAAACATCGTATTGCCAATGATTATGTACAAAATATGTGTAAATATACATATATACAATAATGATAAACATACACATACAATTAAACAACAAATTCACATGAATTATTTACCTTTGACGAAGAGTAGGCATGGACATGGATCATCTAATGGCCTCCAGCCTCATAGGAGGTGTCCACCACCGTCTTCCTCTTCTTGCTTCTTGGAGCTTTGAGTGTCTGCATTATTCTGTCCATATCCTTCAGACGTTTTTGGTTCAATGAGGAACGCCCATATCCAAGTTGTATGTCCAAACAACTTTCGTATCCTACATTGTACTCTGCTATCGCATGGCTGACGGAGAAATCAACTTGCCACTTATTTCTATACAGGGCTTTGTTGCAGTACGACCATATTCTTTGGTGAAGGCTTTCATTTGGGTTTTGTGTTCGTCCCTGTATGCATCGTTCCATCATGTCATCTCGGGTGAGGTCCTTGTAGACTTCATGCACCTGGTTGAAGTCGTTGGGTTGTAGCTGAAACTTCACTTTCATGGTTGTGTGGGATGGTGGTGGTAGGTTGTCTGCCAGTGCCTTCTGGTAAAAACACCATGAAGCAGAACCAGGTGGACAAAGGTGATGCTCTGGGTTGTCGTCAGTGGAGGAACAGTGAAAGAAGTTTGCAAGTATTCCATTCCTCATAGTTTCAACATCAGTTCCACGACTGTCCCTTAGGTTCTTCTGAAAATACTGAGCAAGCTTGTGAATCATGAAATCTGTCAACATCCCTTTCCTCTTCAGGTGATACTCCTCTCTCTTTTTTCCGGTTCTAAGTTGTTTTTCCGTGTAGTGCAATTTTACCAAGCTTGTCAACCTATTTTTCAGCCGCTTTGCATAATGGTTGATGCACTCTTCTTTTGTAACTTGTAAACCTTGGTATGGACCAGCACCATCATTGAGTTCAATAATTCCTTTGTAGGTTGCACTATCACCATCAGACACTATGGTCTTGTACCTCAACTTGTGCTTCAGTGATCTTTGCCAAATGATGAGTGCAGCTTCTACCTCCATTTTTCCTGAGGAGCCGGAAAAGTTTTTGTTGCATTTCCTTTCATGGTTTTCTTTAAATTTTTCATACGTTTCCACAGTAATTTTCTTCTTCTTCAAACGATTTTCCATATTGACACACAAGAACAGTATTTACACAACACTTGATAGTCAACAAGCTTTGTCAAGGCATCAATAGCCACACCAATGCCAAAATTAGAATGATGGCCCCTAGTATGCCACTTGCCATCATACGTCACATCAATGTCAACAACTCCACGTGCGTCTGGCAAAGTGTCTTGTTTGGTATATTCCTTACGAACGATTGCCCTTGTTTCTGCTAGAATTCTGTTGCAAGACTGAATGGATACCCTTGTAATCTGGAGTTTACCTGGAGAGAGTTCCGGGGGTCAACGCCCCCGCGGCCCGGTCTGTGACCAGGCCTCCTGGTGGATCAGAGCCTGATCAACCAGGCTGTTGCTGCTGGCTGCACGGAAACCAACGTGCGAGCCACAGCCCGGCTGATCCGGAACTGACTTTAGGTGCTTGTCCAGTGCCAGCTTGAAGACTGCCAGGGGTCTGTTGGTAATCCCCCTTATGTGTGCTGGGAGGCAGTTGAACAGTCTTGGGCCCCTGACACTTATTGTATGGTCTCTTAACGTGCTAGTGACACCCCTGCTTTTCATTGGGGGGATGGTGCATCGTCTGCCAAGTCTTTTGCTTTCGTACTGAGTGATTTTCGTGTGCAAGATCGGTACTAGTCCCTCTAGGATTTTCCAGGTGTATATAATCATGTATCTCTCCCTCTGCGTTCCAGGGAATACAGGTTTAGGAACCTCAGCGCTCCCAATAATTGAGGTGTTTTATCTCCGTTATGGCGCCATGAAAGTTCTCTGTACATTTTCTAGGTCGGCAATTTCACCTGCCTTGAAAGGTGCTGTTAGTGTGCAGCAATATTCCAGCTAGATAGAACAAGTGACCTGAAGAGTGTCATCATGGGCTTGGCCTCCCTAGTTTTGAAGGTTCTCATTATCCATCCTGTCATTTTCTAGCAGATGCGATTGATACAATGTTATGGTCCTTGAAGGTGAGATCCTCCGACATGATCACTCCCAGGTCTTTGACGTTGGTGTTTCGCTCTATTTGTGGCCAGAATTTGTTTTGTACTCTGATGAAGATTTAATTTCCTCATGTTTACCATATCTGAGTAATTGAAATTTCTCATCGTTGAACTTCATATTGTTTTCTGCAGCCCACTGAAAGATTTGGTTGATGTCCGCCTGGAGCTTTGCAGTGTCTGCAATGGAAGACACTGTCATGCAGATTCGGGTGTCATCTGCAAAGGAAGACACGGTGCTGTGGCTGACATCCTTGTCTATGTCGGATATGAGGATGAGGAACAAGATGGGAGCGAGTACTGTGCCTTGTGGAACAGAGCTTTTCACCGTAGCTGCCTCGGACTTGTGTATCTGCTAAATGTTTCGTGAGTTATACCAGGTAGGTTACACAAGGCATTTCTATGAAGAAATGATTTGTAGCCTCCACCAGTCACCATTTCAGCATACACCATTCGACCAGTCAAAGCATTCAGCTGCTTACAAATACCACGTGGCTTTTTCACTAAAATAGCCTTACACTCGGTACACGACATAGTAACAACAGTTTCTAAGTGATGCTTATAATATGTAACTGTCACCTTCTTCGATAAACACTCGGAACAGTGAACAAATGACAGAATTTCATCAAACTTATAATCTTCGAAACATATCATTTTCTTCTCAACAACAACAGGAGTTATCTTATCATACATTGACACTCGTCGTTTGGCATTTGATACACCACAAAACAACTGTCACTGGCAATCGCGTCAGAGCTGGACGACCGTGCTGCGACAGACTGATACTAGCACAACTGGGTAGCCACATGTGGGTTGCCACATGTGGTGGCCACATGTGCGGTGGCCACATGGGGCGCCACATCTGCAGTGTCACGGGTTACACTCAAATTTACATGGTGAGGTCGTCACATATGTAACTGTTTTGTAGGTGACGACAGATGTATTATATAGGCGTTGGGTTGATCAATGTGCCACAGTGTGTGGTGGCAACAGATACGTCACTCGTTTCGCTTCCTCGATGTTGTAGGTTTGCGGCTTGAAGTGGCACAAAAAATCTGGTTGGCCCCGGATTGGTGGGCTCACATCTGGAGTGGCCCCGGACATTGGTGGCCACATCTGGAGTGGCCCGACTTTTGGGCCACATCTGGAGTGGCCCCGACGTGGTGGCCACACTGAGTTTGGGCCCCGGGGCTTTGGGGGCCAAACTGGAGTGGGCCTGGACTTCCTGGCCACACTCTTCCTTTTCCCTTGCTTTGCTTAGCACATGCCTTCACAGGAGAAGTGTTCAGAAGTTCACCAGCTGAAACTAATTCTTCATTTACTGAGGAGTCAGAGGGTAGTAATGGCGTCGTGGTGTCACCTGCTGCTGCCTTTGCCGCTTCTTGTTTTAGCTTTTTCTTCATTGCCAGTCTTTTCATCCTCAACACCACACTCTTCTTCATGTTCAATCTGTGAATACTCTTCTTAGGCGGCATTTTGGTGCAAAATTGTATAGAATTGACGGTGGAAATACGTGTTCCAAGGGTGGCCCGGTGGCCTGGTGGCTAAAGCTCCCGCTTCACACACGGAGGGCCCGGGTTCGATTCCCGGTGGGTGAAAACATTTCGACACGTTTCCTTACACCTGTTGTCCTGTTCACCTAGCAGCAAATAGGTACCTGGGTGTTAGTCGACTGGTGTGGGTGGCATCCTGGGGGACAAGATTAAGGACCCCAATGGAAATAAGTTAGACAGTCCTCGATGACGCACTGACTTTCTTGGGTTATCCTGGGTGGCTAACCCTCCGGGGTTAAAAATCCGAACGAAATCTTATCTTATCTTAGCGGTCAATCAAAGCAGCGTAAGCCTTCTTCTACCTGACCCTTGGTCGACACTGAGGTTGGTGTGGAGAGTGGAGGTCCTTGCTACAGCCACCATGAGAGTTACCAATGAGTAATTTGAAGCATTTTGCACAAAAACATAAGAAAAAATTAGGGAAAAAAAAATAAAAATGACAAGAAAATTACAATAAACGAACTACAGGTATGCGTGAGTCACGATAATGACGTAATTACCCCAATTACTATAATCACGATAACTTTTTACCTAATTATCGTACAGAGACGAGACATACACCAAAATGTTGCCAGATTGTTGAGCTATTTTTCGGTAAGATTAACTAATTTTTTAATTTTTTCGATTTTTTCGTCTATTGCCTGGCTCCATGCCTGAACCGCCCCTAATGCCTCAAATGATGTAGTGGAAGTTTTGGCAGTAAAGGTCGAGAACCAAAACCTAGTCATTGTGGTAGTCTACAAGCCTCTGGATGCAACATCCCAGCAATTCCAGGAACAGCTGTTAAAAATTGACCACTGTCTGGAAAATCTTCCAGCTCCTGCCCCCAACATCTTGCTCCTGGGGGATTTCAACTTAAGGCACCTAAAATGGAGGAATATAGCAAATAATATTGTTGCAGTAGTAACACCAGGAGGCAGCTCTGATGAAAACTCACACTCACACGAGCTTTTAAATCTCTGCACAAAATTCAATTTAAACCAGCAAATAATAGAGCCTACTAGACTGGAGAATACACTAGACCTCATCTTCACTAACAATGATGATCTGATAAGAAATGTCACCATATCAAAAACAATATACACAGATCACAACATAATTAAGGTTCAGACATGTATGCGTGGAGCCCCAGACCAACATAATGAGATTAGTCACGAGGGAGCATTCACCAATTTCAACTTCAATAACAAAAACAAAGTGGGACCAAGTAAACCAAATCCTAACCGATATAAGCTGGGGAAGATATACTAAGCAACACAGACCCCAACTTATGCCTAGAACAGATTAACTTGGTGGCACTCCATGTATGCACAAGGCTTATTCCTCTAAGAAAAAGGAGTAGATGTAAAATAGAAAGAGACAGGCGCTCCCTTTACAGGCGACGGAAAAGAATAACAGAGCGGCTAAAAGAGGTCAATATATCCGAGATGCGTAGGGAGACACTGGTCAGAGAAATAGCAAACATCGAACTTAAGCTAAAGGAATCTTATAGGAGTCAGGAATCGCGGGAAGAACTATAAGCCATAAATGAAATCGAAAGAAACCCAAAGTATTTCTTCTATGCCAAATCAAAGTCGAGAACAACGTCCAGTATTGGGCCCCTACTTAAACAAGATGGGTCCTACACAAAAAAATGTGACATCAAGCAAATGATCTTTTGAACCCCAAACCTCAAGTCCCAATATGAACTTTTTTTTATGAGAAGCCACAATAAACCAAGATTTGAGATTCCAAAAGATCAAAATGACATGCTTTATGAGGGCCACAATTTTTGGTTATCAAAGGCCTTTTTTCCGATGTTATCTGTGTACCACCAAAATAAACCTTCGACACCCCCCAGGCGCTGTATAATCTGGCTGCACTTCCCCTTGCAAGACTCATGGAACTCAGTGTTCATCAAGAACTGCAAGAAGCCCCTATCACGAGCCTTTTCCATCCTATGGGCTGTATAGCCCTTTTGGCTTAGTGCTTCTTTTTGATTATAATAATTCCATCCTATGGAGAGGGAGCATGGACACGGGGGTCGTCCCACAGTTACTAAAAATAACAGACATAGCCCCACTCCACAAAGGGGGCAGTAAAGCAACAGCAAAGAACTACAGACCGATAGCACTAACATCCCATATAAAAATCTTTGAAAGGGTCCTAAGAAGCAAGATCACCACCCATCTAGAAACCCATCAGTTACACAACCCAGGGCAACATGGGTTTAGAACAGGTCGCTCCTGTCTGTCTCAACTATTGGATCACTACGACAAGGTCCTAAATGCACTAGAAGACAAAAAGAATGCAGATGTAATATATACAGACTTTGCAAAAGCCTTCGACAAGTGTGACCATGGCGTAATAGCGCACAAAATGCGTGCTAAAGGAATAACAGGAAAAGTCGGTCGATGGATCTATAATTTCCTCACTAACAGAACACAGAGAGCAGTCGTCAACAGAGTAAAGTCCGAGGCAGCTACGGTGAAAAGCTCTGTTCCACAAGGCCCCTCAAGGAAGGTTCCTTGATGTTGGGGAGGGGCTCTTGATTTAGGGAATTGGATCTGTGCTCCAGTTCCCCGAATTAAGCCTGAATGCCTTCCACATCCCCCCCCAGGCGCTGTATAATCCTCCGGGTTTAGCGCTTCCCCCTTGATTATAATAATAATAATAATAATGTTCCACAAGGCACAGTACTCGCTCCCATCTTGTTCCTCATCCTCATATCCGACATAGACAAGGATGTCAGCCACAGCACCGTGTCTTCCTTTGCAGATGACACCCGAATCTGCATGACAGTGTCTTCCATTGCAGACACTGCAAGGCTCCAGGCGGACATCAACCGAATCTTTCAGTGGGCTGCAGAAAACAATATGAAGTTCAACGATGAGAAATTTCAATTACTCAGATATGGTAAACACGAGGAAATTAAATCTTCATCAGAGTACAAAACAAATTCTGGCCACAAAATAGAGCAAAACACCAACGTCAAAGACCTGGGAGTGATCATGTCTGAGGATCTCACCTTCAAATGTAGAGAGAACCTTCACGGCGCGCATAACGGAGATAAAACACCTCAATTACTGGGAGCGCTTGAGGTTCCTAAAACTGTATTC